CAAAACAGAAGAGACCCAGAACATTTTAAAAAATCTAAAAACCTGCCAATATCCTTTATCATTTATTTTAAGACATTTCCATAGCCCGTCTGAAATGTGAAATCCCCCAGTTTACAAATCTATTTGCAGTATTCCCTACTCACCTGTATCCATATCAATAGCCCGTCATCTGAAAAAATTCGGCGTTAAAACCTTCTTCTGCAACTCACCAAGTTTAAGTTCACTACTAAGAAACCCTATAACAAAAAGCAATAGCCTTAATTATCCTTGCAATATTAAGAATGCCATATACTCTATAGAATGCAACGAATGCAAAACCAAATACGTAGGTGAAACAGGTAGAAATTTAAATGTAAGAATATCTGAACATCAACGAAATATCGAAAACCAGGACAATAGATCTCTAGTATACCATCACGTAAGAGAAACAGGTCATTCCTTTGCACTATCCCAACCAATAACCCATTATTCCAACATCCCCAATAAACAACAGAGACTCATCATAGAATCCATTATATCAAGAAAACACAATAGTATTAACAGAAGAGTTGATATTCCAGAAGTTTATAATATACTATTCCCTGAGCTCACCCCAAATCATCCAAATACAAGAATCGTCTCAGAATAGCAGCAGTGGTAACCAGGCAGACATCTCCTAATAATGATAACTACAACCTAGCTATGTATTCCTTGCTTCCTTGGTTTTTTCTGGTGGCCTATATTTTATTCATTTGTTTGTCCTCTTATTAGAGATATATATATATTTTAAATATTTTGTCTCAATTGTATAATAGTTAATATGTAAAAGTAATATTTATATCTTCATAAAAATATGTAAAATAGTATCATTACATTTAACTCGTGTTCTATTGGCGTGTCATTATACCATGTTTTCTCCTGTAGAAGGGCGTCCGTGCCCGAAAGCTAGAGAACAATAAAATGTTTTTTGAAGAAGACACTCTTCCCTGGAGGAATGATTGATTTTGCTCAATATACAGTAAAACCCCTCTATAGTGAACCCCAATGGGACAGAGCTTTTGGTTCACTATAGCCACGGTTCACTATAGCCACGGTTTGGCTATTTTTTTTTACTTTTCAAAAATTTTAGACCGTATAATTAAAAAACAGCCATACACACAAGAAGAGGCTGCCTCTTAATAGTGGTCACTTTATTTTAATTCCCTTAATTGACTAATTTCCTTATATTAATACTGAATAATAATAGAAATCATTATATAATAGGTTCTTCTTATGATTAACATACATGTACCTCTATGTCTAAGTTAAAAATCAAGACAAATCCTAGGCAAAGTTTTATTAAATATATATTCAAAGATATGAAATGATTTTAAAACATCATTATCACATTATATAATACAATTTTTACTTGAAAAAAATGGCTCTAATACCTTGTTGTTTCAAAGCATTCTTCCAAGCATTGCACCATTCAAATAAAGTTAGTGTTTTTCTTCCCTTTCATGTTTCCCCATATTCTTCTAGGTCTAGATTTCGTTTTTTTTAACCTGCCATGCAAAACATTGCTGACTTTAAAATCACCATAGTTAATGGCATAAAAATAATTTTTGTTTCATCACGGGACCGTTTATTTGGACTTTTTTTTTTTTTAAGTTCTAAAACGTACGATCGCGATCGCGGCAAAAGTTGAAGTTGATTCCTCTTTGTAACAATTTTTAATAACTTTATATTTTATCTTTTATAATAGAAAAGTTATATTCTCTTATTTTAATATGTTCTTAACATTTTGCCTATGTTGTTTCACTTTGAAAAGTTCTGAAAATGGCCTTTTTTTTTTTAAATGAAATAATGCTTTTGTTTTTAAAATGCCTTTGTTTTCTTCATTTTGGAAGCCATTTGCATTTTTTATATTTCAAATTTAATGGATGCAAAGATATTCTAATTAATAAAAAGTATAATGTGTAAAAATTTATACAACATACAGCAAAAATAAAGTGCAAAAATCAAACTAACAATGCCGCTAAATTTATTGTTTTGAAATCGCGATCCGCGAGCTTTAAACATGCTCAAAATTTTGTTTTTTAATTTTTTTTTAAAATTACAATTCTAAGTTCGTTATAAGCATAGTATTTTTAATAGATTTTATCATTTTGGGACCAAAATTGGGTTCGTTATAGCGATAGTTCGCTAGTTTGAAAAGTGAAAAGTTCGTTATAGCGATGGTAATTTTAATGGAATGGAATGCGGATTTTCGATGGGTTCGTTATAAGGGAAGGTTCGTTATAGCCATGGTTCGTCTTAGCGGGGTTTTACTGTATAAGGTATACTTTTCTTGGATTTTTTTGACATATGGGGGGCAGGTTGCATTTATACTAATTAAATTATCAGAGGAACTGATCAAAAAGGCAATATTTTCACATGATTTTGTTTTTATTTTAATATACAGCTTTAATATATAGAAATAGGTTAATTTTTAGGGGGGAAAAAGCAGCCAATATTAAGAGGAAGCCTTTTTTTTTTTTTTTTTTTGCGCATGCCCTTTAATTATATCCTCAAAAAAAAATTAAATACCCAAACCGTGGCTATGGTGAACCGTGGCTATAGTGAACCAAAAGTCCCGTCCCAATGGGGTTCACTATAGAGGGGTTTTACTGTAGTAAAAATGATAATTTTACAAATGAAAACTGTCCTTTATAGAGAGGTGTCCTCTCATGGAGTATGTTCTACTGTATAGGGTGGTGATACATAGAACTAGGTACTCCATTCAGATATGGGAACAGAGAATGTAACACTAGCTAGCAGTACCTTAGCCATGGTTTCCTCATCCGGCTCCTCCTGTGGGTCCGCCCAGTCCACAATGATGTCACAAGCCCACACTTTCACTCTGCCTGTGCCCAACCTTCGCTTGGCCAGAGAGGCTGACTTGTGGCACTCGTACTCCAGGAAGCAGAAGCCCCGGTTCTTCTTCTTGTCATCCGGACTGCTGTAGATGATAACATCCACCAGTCCGGCTGCCACAACATCTCTCAGCACCTTGCATCCGTGCCAGGGCAAGTACACATAACTTCCATTAATTGGGACTCACATTATTTACAGTTGATTCCTGACTTATTTAACTAAACATTTCCAAATGCCATTCAATCAGGATATGAGAATTTAGATTTAAGACCATACATTTTTTAGTGCTCTGGCTCAGTCTTATATATCAGGAATCAACTGTTGTATGAAAAATGTAAATCTCATACACTTTAAAATTATTGTTTAATCCATCTAAGGTCAAACAAGTTTTGCTTCCCCATCTAGTCCCGATTAATGAAAATAGATTTTAGTTTTTAAAAATGTTTATAAAAACAAAATATAAGGAAAGAAAGAATTGATGGGAGAAAGATAGAGAAAAAAAGATAATTAATTTTGAATCATACCTGTTAATTTTGTAAACTCTTCCAAAATCTCCTCTTTGCTCTTGCTCTTTGGAATGTTTCCAACAAAAAGGCGCAGGTTTGGAACCGACACATTCACTTTGAGCTCTTTCCCCTTTCTTATTTCATAATTATCCAGCTGAAAGGAAAAAAAAGAGGGAATAAAAAAAGAGTGGCAAGTAATTCACATAAATCAGACAAATAGATTTTTTTAGTTGTTTTTTTTTTAGAGAGAAATATTTTACCCATTAAATTTTTTATTTATATGTTGTGAGCGCGCATGTCTATTTTTTTAATGGGGGAATTGTAAAATTTGTACAAAGCTTTTTTTTTTAAAGCAAAATATGAAACAGTATATGTATTTTAAACACATAGGTAATAAGACCAAATAAATAAATAGTGTGTGACATTTCGGCAACAGTGATGCTACCATATACAGACAAAAGTATTGAGTGACCATTCAGCACTTTTGTCTGAAGATGGTAACAACGCTGTTACCGAAACGTCACACACTATTTATTTATTTGGTCTTATCCCCTTGTGTTTATAATCCAAATTGTGCCTTATATATTTCAGGGTTGTGTTGAACCCAATCAAACATGTGAAAGCAATGAAGAGCCAAGAGGAGAGATAGGTACAAGTTTTGACAATGGACAGAAGCATTTACAGTAAATTGTAGAGACCTTACTGAGGTGAGGAAAGAGGGGGAACAAACTAAGAGTAAAGTTGGAATAAAAGTCATGTAATAAGTGAGTACAGTAGTAGAAATTTATTTATTTTTGCTTATCCCTAGTACATGTGGTACAGGCCATGATAATCATGGTGGGTAGAAGTAGGCGACTGCTTTTACTCTAAGTGCACCACATATCTACACATGTGAAATGAAGTTCGACTGCACTTACAAATGTGCCAGAGCTCTGTTTGTTACTTGCACTCGCTGGTGGGGTTGGACTTTTGCAAGAATCGGGAGCAATTAAAGCATTTTTTTTTCTTAAATCAGAAAAAAAAGTGACCAATGCGGGAATCGAACCTGGGTCGAAACAGCCGAAAATCAAGGATTTAGACCATCCTTCCACCAACTCCCGTATGAATTTATACGATATATTAGCGCCCCATCTGTTATAATAAAATTGAATTATTTTTTATGCGCACGATTCTTTTGAAAATAAATCAATTTATCTACTGCCCTTACTGCAATGATAAAATAATGGGAGGGCTGGCTCATCAGTGGTGAACCCTCCCAGTGGTTTCGCCAGTTTAATCTACCATACCGCTGTAATATTGCATTTTCCAGTTTTCATTTTATACTGAAACTGATGCTAGACTCTTGGAATGGGTATTTTAGATGAACTATGGACATAAGATTTGAGGACAGAGTGGAAATACATATATTAATAAATATAAAGTAATACTTAAAGCCTCCCCGCATAAGTTTCTTTTTGTGGAAAATCAATATTAATTTTAAAGAGAAATATGTACTCTTTCTAACTTTTTAGATGACGTATGAAAAGGTTGAATATATGAAGAGTAATGGTCTATATATGATTAGATGACGTATGAAAGGGTGAAAATGTGAAGAGTAATGGCGAACGGAAAAATAAAAGTGTCCAGGGGCGGGAATCGAACCCATAACCTTCTGCTTACCGGGCAGGTGCCATGTCCACTAGGCTACCCTGGACGTATTTTTCCGTTCGTAACTAATACTTAAAGTAACTTTTTTTTTTTTAATACATTATAAAGGACTGCGGCGTATGATTATAAAGTAATACTTAAAGCCTCCCCGCATAAGTTTCTTTTTGTGGAAAATCAATATTATTAATAAATATATATTCTTCTTCTTCTTTCTTATCTTCACACTGGATGAAGTAGAATGCGTCTGCCTTTGTCATTAAGACTGGAAGCACTACTCAGTGGCAGGCCGACTTAGCTCCAAAAGAAATGGCCGCTTCTGACATGAGGAACAGACGCCATGTGCAGCCGCTCCTAACATGAAGTACAAACGCTGCTCATCCTGTATCCCTGGAGCCCTTACAGGGTACTATCAGCCGGGCCAGCTGAGCCCAGGTTTTTTAGTGAGCTTGTTACTGCTCCCTCTCCTCCTTTTTCATCCGGGCTTGGGACCGGCAAAGGCGGAGTTATAATAAATATAAAATATGCTTTGAGAACTGCTCTTATTTTTCTTGAACTACTATATAAAACAACAAGGTGCTTCCAAAGACAACATTTTCATATCTGGTGAAAGAAAAAAGAACGAGCTTTATTTTTGAAACTTGTAGTGACAAGCCAACTTTTGGGTAATTTTATTTCTGTATTCTATATACAGTTACGAGCGTCATGCGTTCTTCATCTGTCACCGTTTGCTTTTTTTTTTGTAATGGCGCTCTCCTATTGGTTCGCTACGATGGTGCCGCCACTGCGCGAGACACTTTGCCCCCCCCCCCCCCCCCCCCCCACTCGCTTTTTGGTTTTTGTAACTATTGTGTTGGAGCGGGTCGCTCCTTAAATAAATGCATATATTAGTTAATATCTAAATGGAATCCTCTCTTTCTTTTTCCCAGTAAGAGACGCCTACAGAAGCCAACAGTACATAGACAGATAAAGCACATAGGCTATAGTTATTAACTAATATATGCATTTATTTAAGGCCGCAATTTATAATTGTAACAAATAGTATTTGAATAAAAACATTCAATCAGGTAAAACACGGGCGTTAATGATCCAACAGGTCCACGTGTCTAAATTAAAACACGGGCGTTGCCCGGGTCATTCGGCTAGTATAATATAGATACAAGGTAATAAGACCTAATCCAAATAATTTAATAGTGTGTGACATTTCTGTAACATCATTGTTACCATTATCAGACAAAAGAATAAATCACAGCATTTTCTTAAATAGTACTGCTATCAAGTGTGTAAACAAGGTAACAGATAAGAAAAAATAGTTTTTTTACGACATCCTGAAATATTCTTCTTAAGAAGAATCTATAATCCAAATTGTGCTTTATCATATATATACTTTACTAAAATATAAATATTGGGCCTAATTTAGTTTATACCCTAATAAATATACATTAGAATCTCCCTGTAAAGGACAACACCTAATTGCAGAGCCAAAGTGTTCTTTAGGGAGAGATGTCCTCTTACCGGAGAGTTTCTAAATAGTAAAAATGGTGATTTTGCAAATGAAAACTGTCCTTTGTGGAGAGGTGTCAGCTAAAGGGGTGTTCTACTGTATTTTCACACATACACCTAGATGCTATAGTATAAATGGCTGCTGCTAAATAAAGCTTGGATAGAGCTACTACATCAGTAATAGTTTTAGTGAGACAACACTCCTTCCATTATTAAAGTCCTCACACTATTGGAATACACTATGCTCTATTGGCCTCCCATGCTTACCCCTCTGTACTTGGCCTCTGGTGCAGTGGACATTGTTGGGAGGTAGAATAAACCCTCTACACAATCAAGTCTTGTTCTGGTAGACTTGATGCTGTAACCAGGAGGGACACTCCCTCTTTAAAAATCCTGAGTTCAACTGACTGGGTACTTCAGGAATACGGAGGAGCTTTGTCTGTACTTATGTTAGAGTCAGCAGCAAAGGCTTCCTAGGAACGGCCTCAAACTACAGGCAAAGTCAGACTTTCACCAAAGTGTGCCTGGATCATGGTGCCATGATCAACGGAAGCTGCACCCCTATACCCCCTTTCCATGAGATCATGGAATTTGTGTAATCTTTACACAAGGGGATAAGAAACAACACTATGCTCTATTAAAATCAAAAAAGGCATATCCTGACCATGATCACATGAACTTTTTAGATAGCATAACACCATCTAGTGGAACAGAAATCAACTCAATTATGATTTAGCATGTTCCCTGATATTTGGCCAACCCATTTTCTTGATAAATCAAGAAAAGCCAACCACGAACACATTTCAGGCTGTTGGCCCTCGTCAGCATGGTGTACCTCTATGACCAAAATATTTTGATCCCAGAGGCTTCCCGAGATATCAAGAAATCTATACCCTATATACCCTCTGTGCAGCCATTGAAGACTGCTACTCACACTACAAATAAGGACACAATGCTGCAATTAGCAGTTAAGAGGGGAATCTCTGTATTAGAGTATTGTGGTGGATTCAACTGGAGCTAGCCAGGTCCTGGCAATATTTTAACCTCATTAAGACAGCAGGAAGTTTTTTTTATTTTTAAAAAAGCATTGAATAGTTTCCATTCTAATATCTCATCAATGTTTTTAACCACACTTGACCAACCATTGAATCATTGGTATAACTAAATCTTTAGGGCCTATATCCCTCTGGCTGTAAGAATGCAACAAGTCTAGAGAGATTTCAACAGTGAGAGTGTATTTGGACAATAACATCTTGATAAGGATTGGTCCTTATCAAGTTGATAACAACAACAAAGCCTTTATTAAGGTCATTCGTCCCATACAGGATTCTCCCAGATACAGAAGTAAACATAGCAGTTATACAAGGTGTGTTCATTAATTTCCGGGACTGCTCTGTATCTTTGAAAAAATGAAACAAATAAAAAAACGAATTTAATATTTTTCAAAATATGCCCCTTCTGCCTCAATACACCTGTTCCATCTTTTTTTCCAATTGTCGAAGCAGGAGATAAAATCACTTTTTGAGAGGTTCCTCAAGGTTGCCTTCGATTCAGCTTGCATCATATCAACGTTGTCAAATTTCCTTCCTTTTAACTTCATTTTCAATTTAGGATAGAGGAAAAAGTCATTGGGGGCTAAGTCGGGGAATAGGGTGGATGAGGGATCTGTATGGTTGAATGCTTGGCCAAGAACTGCAAAACAACATGGGCTGTGTGCGGCCGCGCATTATCGACGTGAATTATCCAGTCATTGTTTTGCCATCTTTCAGGTCTTTTAAGGCGCACTGCCTCCCTTAAGCGCCTCATTACCCCCAAATAAACCTCTTGAATAATTGTACGTCTGAAAGCAATAAATTCATGGTGAACCAAACCATTAATATCAAAAAATGTAACAAGCAATGTCTTGTCTTTGGATTTTGTAAATCTTGCCTTTTTGGGTTTCGGTTCCCCTCTTTCAATCCATTGGCTGGATTGACGTTTGGTTTCCGGGTCATACTGATACACCCATGTCTCATCCCGGTAATGATTTTTTGCATCCATTATGGATCGGTCCGAGTCATTTCAACCATGTTTTTGCAGACATCCATTCTAACCTCCTTTTGTTCCCCTGTTAGAATCCGGGGAACAAATTTTGAAGACCCGGATCATGTCCAAATCTTTTGTTACTATTTGATGACACAGTACTACAGATAGTCCAGTCTCTGAAGATAAGTCTTTAATAGAAATTATTCTGTTAGATTTAATTAATTCCTTTATTTTGAATTTGTTTTCCTCGCAACGTAATGATCTTGGACGTCCAGTATGCTGATCATCGTTTACCTTTTCCCGACCTTTCAGGAAGCGTGAAAACCATTCAAAAGTTCTTGAACGGGATAAAGCTGCATCGCCAAAAGCTTCTTTAATCAATTCATACGTCTCAGTAGCACCTTTTTTCAATTTAAAACAAAACTTTATGTAGATTCTCTGCTCTTCGAAAATGTCCATTTTAAAATTAGAAATGCGAACCTTACAAGGAAGTTGTTTTGTTCTATTTTTAGATCGGCGCGTGCGCCACGAGACTCGTGCTTTCAGTCAGGTGTGGTCGAATGTCCAATATTTAACTCTGTATAAAATATTATTCTTTAGCTTTTTTATTTATTTTATATTTAACCAGTCCTGGAAATTAATGAACGCACCTTGTATATTGTGATAATATAAAAGAACAAAAAGAAGCTTCTTGTGTAGAACATTCGGCTAGCTTTTGAACGTCATTGTTCTTCAACGGGCGAGATGATAAAGCATAATGTATGACAATATATAGAAGTACAATGAGAGACAGGTGATATGCCGCTTGTCTCTCATTGTACTTCTATATACAGTTAAACCTGTCTATAGCACCCCCTCTTGGGACTCACCAAAATAGGGTGATATAGAGAGGGGGTGCTATAGACAGGTCACTTTTAATGTAAATCGCATCGTACTACGTATTTAAAATTGGGCGCTATAGAGAGGGAGGCGCTATTTAGAGGGGGCGCTATAGACAGGTTTAACTGTATTGTCATGTATTAGGCTTTATCTTCACGCCTGTTGAAGAAGGATGTCGTTCGAACGCTAGCGGAATAAACATGTTTTACACAAGAAACTTCTTTTTGTTCTTTTATCGCAATATAGTAATGGTAATCAAAAAGTTGTTCTCTACAATTATATACAGAAAGTGGAGATTAAGATCGACCTTTCCTCAAGTTGGATCTGTGTTCCAACTTTTGTCTGTGCTGTTTTCCACAATTTGTGAAAAGCATCGAGTTTGCTTTTTACTACTTCTGCCATTAAATGGCGACTTGTTTTATAACCAATCTTGTGACAGAGAATTTCTTTCTCCTCTTCCAGTGCTGGACAATAAAATATTTAGTATGGAAAGAGAAGTCGTGGCTAAATTCACTATTGTGAAAAAGTGCATTTTAAGTTTTTAGATTTCAGTAATAAAATATAATTATAAACACAAGGTAATAAGACCAAATACAAATAAATAAATAATGTGTAATTTATTTAGTATTAATATGTATTTAT